CTGCCAGACACTGAAATAGTACCATATGCTGCTGATGCGGCTGTTCTAAATGTACAAAGGGTCCAGATGGTTCTTCCAAACGTGACGTGAGCAAAGGTTTAAAAAGGGGAAAGTTCATCTTTACCACCCACCACCAGATTTGGGGCGAAGGTCTAAAAATCCAATTTTGGAAACAGCTCGTTTGGTCTTAGGAGGTGGAGGGTGAATGCTGCCTGTCTTTGAGTGTTTAGTTGCTTACCCTGTTCATTTAAATCTTTTTGAAGGAGTGCCATGTGAAGGTCACACTAACTCATCATCACTCTTCCGCTTTGTCAGAAAAAAAAGTGGAAGTCTCAGCTGGTCGAGTCAATTTGACCCATTTTAATTAGCCAGTACAGGAAGTTTTCAGAGGCTGTGACTGGGGAGCGACTGTTTCATGCTATCTCCCGGGCTCCCTAATTCCTCCGCTGCAGGCAAGGCTGCCGGCCAGAGTGGCACAGGAGTAAAAAGTTTGATTAGTTGATCGAATGTATTTCTATCTGGAGCTCTTTGGCCATAGCATTCGGTACACTCAAACCATCAAGATGCGTTTCTTATGGATGTAACCAGTTGTCAAAAAGAATAGAATATGCCGGTTGTATCGATAAAGCTCCAGTATTGTCATTTGACTGGGCTGGTTTATCGACTTTTATGGCCCGGAAGCGAGCATTAAAAAGATTCCCTTATTGCAATTTTTTTTACACATTTGTGGTTTATTTATATACACTGTCCATAGAGCTGGAATAATTTTGTTTTCAGACAGAACCCTCTGATTATTCCTATTCAAATGCATCAGCAGTCATTTTGATTGTGCGTAATGGTTACATCATGCGTCCTAATTACCCTGGTGAAACATAGCCATGCAAATGTTGGAGGTTGGGGGGGGGGGCTGCACTGCCATTGACGAAAACATTTAAATGGGTAGCAAAATGTCTGATGGATGTCAACTGGAAAAATCTTCCGTCCGCACCCACCTCTCTCGAATGTTTGATTTCTTTTTCAACACATTATCAGCGGAATAGGTCTGGAATTTGAGTAGGGGTGTGTAGACATTTCATAACCACTGTATTTCCACACTGATGGCAATCAAATAACAGTATCAATGCTAAAATCAATATTTACACCGGCTTATTTTTTAAGTTCATAATATTACATTGAAACCAAGAAGAGCTGATCATCAGGCGCTTTCGGATCTCCCGGTCCCAGCAATCAGCGGCTCAATCGACACGCCATTATTGATTTACCTTCCCTGATTTAATCTCTCTCCTCTGATTCCCTGTCGAGGACAACTCTGTCCGTCTCAGGTGCTGACAGCAGTACCAACACATGTTTTGAAAGCAGGTAGAGGTTCATTTCCAAAAATACCAAAAGAAAAAAAAAACTCACATCAATCAAAATGGCTCATGTAAGTAGAGCTTACAAAAAAAAAAAAAATTTTAAAAACATTTACTAAAATGCATGAAGACAGTACAGTTTACACACAAAAAAATCCAAGTTCTAGAGGTGACCTTGTCCAGTGTGACTCGGGCCAGGTGGTTCTGTCAGACTGTCAGAGCCGAGTGGGTCAGAAGCGCAACAAATGTTGTGCTGCTTTAATGTGCCAGGGGCAGCTTCTGCGATGCCCCCTCTGGGCCGGGCCACTTTTGGACTTTTGGCATCACATAAGGACCCACAATACATTCATGGCTGTCTTACCAGTGCTGTCTCCTCAATCTTTCCTGGTCGCATTGCAACCTTTTTTAATCTGTGTATTCGTGCATGTGTCCGTGTGTGTGATTTGTCATAGTTAGCCTGTAACAAGATGGCGACTGTTATCGTTGCAGATCGTAAAGAGCCACTAAGGGCTGTGGTGTCAAAGGAATACGTTGTATGGATGGTGCTATTTTTCGCTCTCTCTCTTTATACCCAAATACAATGGAACGTCAAATGGTGAACGCAACTGAATTATGGCAGAGAGACACTTTTAGGAGAAATCGAATGGTGAACGCAAGTTGTTTAAAGACACCGATAAAGCTTGTGAAGGAAAATTTTACGTTACTTGGCGCTTTCTGAATTATGGCAGAGAGACACTTTTAGGAGAAATCACATCGCTTAATGCTTCCATTATGTTTTGACATTATTTCTACTTGCACTGGAATCCTTGGCCTGCCATTGCTATTCTCGTGTGCAACTGTTTCACCGTGGAAGTAAATTAGAAAAAGTGTCTTGAGGTCTTTTGAATCATTTGAGCAAGCAACATTACACTTTACAGATAATTATTAGCAATGAAATGTTCTACATTTTCTTCAATACAGTATAGCGCTACAAATGGTTGAGGCCATTTGGAGAATTTATACTTAACCATATCAAATATTAAATTGATGCTGGAAGTGCTCTAGATGGATGAGACAGCTGGTGGTGGCTGTAAATTATTTGACAAAGGTTGGGGAAGGCTATTATTGCAGGCTGAGAGGTGCAAATCCCTCGAGTGTCATATAGAAATGGATGGAGATGACTCTTCCCCAAACTGGCTTAAAATTTTTTTGTCCCCGCCCCCAAAATAATAATTGGACACATGACGTCCTATTCTGTTGGTGTGTTTAAAAAAAAATAATTTTAGATGCATATTCAGTAATGATATAATACATCCAAATATAGTATGTAACATGTAATTGCAAAGTGCAGACATTCTATGAAGAAGTATAATCACTTCAGTTGAAATGAACCATGCGAGTAGCGCACCAAGCAGTGGAGTCGTCAAGGGACGAAAGGGGCCAAACGCTTCACCGAAGTTGGCCAACCTCTTCTGAGCCAGCGCATGGCGAGGAGGCAAAAATTGACATCGGCGCCAACTTTCCACTCCAGCTGGAGAACTGCTGAGAGGCTTTGTTCCTCTCAGTGTTCCCACCTCGAGCTCCGCAGTATGACTTAAAATGATGGAAAAAATAAACGGAGTCGTCATGTTCGACTATTTAAGCTCGACATGCTAATTAATCTGCCTATTGCCAGAAGACAGATGATTTTCGTTTTACTGTCGGGCTGCAAATAACGATTATTTTATTCATCGATTAATCTCTTGATTATTTTGTTGATTAATCACTGAAGATTTTTTAAAAAGAGTTTTAACAGAACATTATTTTAAATTGACAGTGCAGAAAATGCAGAAACATTAATTAAGATACAATTAATCGTTAGGTCCTTAACATGTCAGAAAATGGGTAAAAATGTTGGTCATTGTTTTCCGAAGTTAAATCACGTTTGCAAATGTTTCGTTTTGATTCAGCACAAATATAAGCAGTCTGCAGAAATCCGAGAGCCTTTAATTACAAAGATTTAGACAACTGTAAAACAAGGTGTCTAAATCATTCATCGATAATCAAAAATAATTATCAGTTAATTTAATAATCGATTACTTGTCGATTAATACTTGCACCTCTGATTCCATCTATTCAAAAATAAAGAAAAAGTCGAGATTATTTTTTACTTTATTTCACATCTCTCACTCGATTGTCAAGATGCTGATTTTGCTGCTTGCCTTTTACCCCCCAAACAAGCTCAGCCACAATGGTCCTCTTCATGGCCCGCTGAATAGGAAGTTCATCAACATTCCAGCCTCAGTTGCAGCTAATGGTCAAATCAGCAGTTCACAAAGCTTCACTGTCCCTTCCTCCGTCAATGCCCTCTCTCATCTCAAGTCTTAACACCCTCACCTTAGCTCGGTTTCGAGAGGATCTCTGCAAACTACCGCTCTCTGTTGGCCACACTGGGAACTACAGATTTCTTGCTCGGTACAGTAACTCACTCTAGTGCAGTGCTTCTTAACCTTTTTAGAGGTACCGAACCCAACCAGTTAATATGCACATTCACCGAACCCTTCATGAGTGAAAAATAAAAAATATATATTTTTTAAAAATTCAAGATATAAAAAAACCCTCTGCATGTATTAAAAACAGACAAAACGTTTATAAAATTTCAAGGGATAAGTATACTTATTTTTAAATTGAACGACATGCTAACACGTCAGTCACACGTTGATGACGAAGCAAACTAAATTTCTCACAGCACTGATTGGACAAGCAATGTCGAACACCTGAGACCGACTCACCGAACCCAGGTTAAGAAACACTGCTCTAGTCTATATTATTTATTTACATTCTAGTAATACCGGGTCAGAGTGTGGTCAGACAAAAAAAAAAAAAAATGGAGTCTCACGATTTGTAAAAAAGGTATTTTGAATGGTTTTAAGAACACATTTTGTATTTTTAAATTATTACACACAGTAATTTCACTGTTTACTATTTTACTCCCAAACTATCTTCCTTACCAGTGCCACAAGAATGTGCACTGGTAGACCCACATCTTGAGTTTCCCAGGAAGCTGGCTGCTGTCAATCTTTGTGAGGCCATCTCTCAGCTGCTTCTGGGCCAGCTTCCCCATTTGCCTATCAGACAGGTCAACTGCAGATAGATTGCCATGTCAGCAGCAGGGATACACTCTTCTTTCCTCCAGTGGTGAAGACCATCCTGTCATCCCTCACTCCTTTCCCAGTTGACAGGCTCCTGGACTTTCAGGGGTTCATTTTTATCCTCACCGACATTGTCAGCTCCTCGAAGCGCCGGAGGAGCCGACGCTTGTGCCCGTACATCGAGTGAGTGGTCTTTATGGGTTGTTGTCATGTCATCCGCCGCGGGACTCTTCCGCCTGATGGTGGTCTGAGACCTCTGGAGATTTTGCCCGTTGATGATGAACTCAAACACGACCATGAAGAGAAAAATAAAATCTGGACTGATTGTCTTGCCATGTTTACTACTTAGTTGCTTTTGAGAAAACATTGTCTGACTCCAATAACACCTCATCAATAAGAATTTTACAGTGCTGATGAGCAGCCATATGCGTAACAAGTTAAAGGACTTTGCTTTGTCGTTGACTACTTCATCTCAAGCCTGCAACATGCTTCAGTGCGTCATCCTGTAGAAATAGACAACCAGGTTGCTCTGTTGCAGGTCCAACTGGCTAAAGCCCTGCTGCGGCCGTCGAGTGGCCCTGTGGCAGCTCTGTCTGCTCAGTGCCGGCTTCAACTGTGTCCTGGTAGCCTGCGTTATCCTGGTGGTGCTCTTCCTCTCCCTGGAGCTACTCATCGACACCAAGCTCCTTCAATGTGAGTCAATCTGCCTTGACGCTTGGGATGTGTCGCACCGGCATTTCACACTAGTATAGTAAAAGCTGCTGAAATGTTTTTCCTCTTTGTACTGCCGTCCTCCAAATTACACAATGTACTGTGCAAACAGTCATTAGATCCAACACTCTTGTTGTAACAGCATCCGTTAGACATCACTGATCACATGGAGCACATACCATGTACTGTACACGAATGCTTGGTATAGTTAAAGAACCAATACGTACTATTCAGATCTTGTACTAACAATTTTTAATTCGTGAAATATTCTGCTATCTTAGTTCATGGGATTGCCGTTGTTTTAGCAAATGTAGATTGCCTACTGTCGTGGATTAGAATCATGGTGGACACTTTTTGTGGTGCCTTAGCACTAGCAACAGAGCTAACATTATTTTTCAGAAATGTGTGCAATGTTTTTACAAGCTTTTGATAAAGTTGATCTCACCGCATAATTATGATAACACAAATGAGCTCTGTTAGCATTTAACCATGTACATGAAAATGTCATTCGCTTAACAAATGCACGGTTCGCACCATTATTTTGTAATTACCACATTCAATACTTGAAGTAACTGCGGGGGAGGAGAAACCAAATAGTTCCTTTCTATTGCATGACTAATTAAATCTAGTAGTTAAAGAAAAGATAGTGCTTCTGTTTTTACATCCTGCAAGTTATATGGGCTGAAGACTGAGGGTAAAAATGTTGTGTGTTCATAAATGAATACGTAAACAATTAGCTCCACAATTATTCATTTGCATTTTAGAAAGACATAAAGTAGGTTGTATGATGTCCATGGATTGAATTTAGTATCCCCTCTTTTCATCACTGCTGTTTTTAGTGGTGCCAATCACACATACGCTGGCTGGGCATGTCGCTAAATGGTGATGAACAGCAACGCAGGAACATGATAACGAAGCAGACATCTTGTCAATGGCACCAGGCACGCATCTCCATTGATTCGTGGCCAGCGGTCAGCTTTAATGATAGCACAGTCTGCAGGGAGTGTCCTGAAAGATTAGCGCTGTGGACACTTTGACACCGGAGTAAATGATGGCCCCATGATGGACACGGCGTCCTCGCTAGTCGAGGGACTGGTTCATATTTTAGAAGTGCAACTGTTATTTATTTAAAAGTTTTTGTCTGTTTTGCTCACGGGTTGTCTTACTTGTTTCTGCAGTTACCAATGCTTTCCAGTTTGCCAGCATCATCCACTGGATCAGTTTGATCATCCTGTCACTTTTCTTTTCCGAGGTAATGTGAATGAGTGATTGAGTGAGTGTCATAATTCTGCTTTTAAACCACATATACTATTTTAGTGAGCAGAATATTTCGGTAGTGATGGAAGCTCATAGCTAGTTTTGTCATGCTTCTTTAGACAGCAAACTGGTTAGACTGGTCATACTGTATGTTACCAAACAAGAAATTCCACACATTAATTGTTTTCTTAATCAATTAGTAGGTAAACTGATTGTTGGGAATTGCTTGGCCATTCCCTCAGACCAGACTCAAGGCTCATCTTGAAAAATGTGACTATTTTACTGTACTACTCGTTATTAAACAACATTAAAAACAACAACAAAAAAATCTGTTTAAGTTCGTTGCTAGCGAGCAAACAGATATGCAACTGGCAAAAGTTTAATCGGTGAGGCAGTGTGATCATTTCAAAAATATCCCAATTTCTATTTCTGTTTACCACGCCGACTCCTCACAATTGAATTGTTACTCCTTATGAGCAAATGGCTACTGATCGTTCAGAAATGCCACTTAGTGGCTTTATAGTGGGTAAAATATTGATTGTTTGAAGTTCAATCGTAATTTTCAAGTCAAATTGTCATTCAAGACACAAAACTTTACATTTGTGCAATACGAAATGAAGTGGGAAGAGTTTGACCCTCAGGTCCGACTCCAGTGCAAAACAATTATGCTGACAGTGACGGCCTTAATGCCCTAAACCAAACGTTAATTACCATCTAGCCAGCAAGAGCAATAATTGAAGTGGAATTTAATGAGCATCGGGGATGGGCTTCAAGCAAAATGATCTGCCCGAGCACCTCGCCAATGACGTCATAGGTGAAGAGTCAACGCGGGACGTTTAAAGGGTGTTTAATGACTTTGGTATTGTCGACCAGTCGGAACACACTGTTCAAGCTCTTAAGCGTTTGGCTTCATTGACTGCAAACCTGTTGTCCAAATGGCACCAACACATGATGGATTTGCAGGACCACTTGTGCGTGACCTCTCATGCTAATTGGCGGCTGAATCAATGGCGCTGCAGAAAGGCGCGTCCCGAAAGTGACCACGCTGGCGGAGTGCAAGATTGACGTTCAGGTGGTTGATCACATCACTTGATGTCTTTATTTGTCTCTTTGCACGCTAGACTGTCTTCAGAATTGTAGTGCTCGGCATCTGGGACTACATCGAGAACAAAGTAGAGGTAAGTGTGTTCATTTTGTACTGTATCATACACATGAGCTAAAAGCACCATGTGGACAAAAGTAATGGGAAAGGACCACCCTTAGTTTGACCTGAATTTTAATTCTTTATATTAACAACACATTTTGTTTGCGGCCAACAACGAGTTCCATAAATGCATGCGTGGATGAGTGTTAAGTGGAAGAATTTGAGACGAGGGCTGTCACAACAAATCTTTTTCGAATCGATTATGCTATCGACTTTTCCATCAATTACTTCAGCTTAGTTAGCAGGAGAGGCTTTATAAGAAAATGTTCACAACATTTCAGTGTAAGACACTTGGTCCCCATAAATTAGGGATGATACATACTATGACAAAGATTAAGTTTGTACAATGTAAATTCACTTCAAAATCCCAATTTAAAACTGTGTTGTTACCTCTAACAGCAGGTGGCCGCCCAAACCGTCACCGACTCGTCGTCATGCAGGTCACATTCCCGTGTTCAAGTCTCCACTCGCAGCTCCGCTTTGCAATCATGCATAAAACTACGACACCAAACCATAAGCATCTTCATCTCCATGGACATTTGACGCCAGAAAAGCGCGTCTGCAGCAACAAATATCCATGTGGAAACACCGAAGTGGACAGACATTTGTTCCCGGTGCTGCAAAGATGATTTTAAAATGACTAATTATATGAATTTGAGCGAGAGGCTACATCGACCCTGGATACAACCAGGACTTGTCTCCAGCCTATGACAGAGCACATATAGACAACCAACCATTCACAATGACTTACACTCTTATGAAGGATGCAAGCTGGGGTATTTCGAGAAACACCACACAGGCATGGAGAGAACATGCACAGGAAGGTCGGAATTGAGAACCTGAGAACTGTGAAGCAGACATCCTGACCCCATGCTCCACCCTGATGCCCAGAAGAAAACTAACAAAGAACTACTACACAAATATAAAAACTGAAATATTTGGAAACATTAACTAGCAGTAAGTGTACATTGAGTGATATAATTACTGAGCGGTGATTTATAGACATTGTGTTGTGTCGTGAATAAGAAATGTATCTGTGTTATCATCTGCTTACGCTGTTTGTGTGTAATTTCGTTGTTTTGCTCATTTTGTACTGAGCAGATGCTGTCGTATGGTGCAGGGAGTTGCATTTCCTGGTCTATGGTTATCAAAACATTTTTTTGTCTTGGCCATCACTGCAATCTGTCAGGTTCAAAACGAACCGAATCATTTTGGGGATCCCAGAAACAGACACAGACAAAATGCAAAAAAAACCCATAAAACCGACAAAGTCCAAAGCGGAAAACGGTGGTCAAAAGGACCCAGGAAAAAACGAGGAATCAACAAAAGACACTTGCAAAAGGCAAGGTAATGGAACACCGAGAAAACAAAGGAAATGACAAGAGTCCAATTCACATGCCAAATAAAAGCAAATCAAATGACTAAACAATGACTATACTTACAAAAATAAGGGGACAAAAACGACTATGACGAGATCGAGAGGTCTGGAAAAACAACATTCAAGCAAGAGCAGCAACAAGGTCAATAATCAGACGAGCACCAGGCAGCTTGTCAGTCCTTAAACACATAGCCAGGCTTGAGGAGGAAATGCAGCACATGTGCACCTGCTGGACGGAAACACCCTTCCCTCCAGCTGGAGCTGAAACACAAATCAAGGCAGAACATGATAGAATCGCCTCACCGTCGGCAAAACAAGTAAATAAAAATCACAATTGCGGATTTTGGTGGCCAGGTTTCCTGATACATTTTGTCCATATAGTGTCATTTTCGCCAATATTATCAGCCCAATGAACCTGTTTTAGGTAAATAAACCTTGCCTATCAGAATCTTGGCATTTGATTAGCCCTGTCACCATCAGGTGTTTGACGGCGCCGTCATCGTGTTGTCTCTGGCCCCCATGGTGGCCTCCACGGTAGCCAACGGGCCCAGCAGCCCCTGGGATGCCATCAGCCTCATCATCACCTTGCGCATCTGGAGGGTGAAGAGGATCATCGATGGTGAGTCAAAGACATTGTCCATTACGCTTATTAAGTCATATGGACCCAGTTAACTTGTTGGTGCGAGGAGCACCTGGTCCCTCCTGACTCTGGGAGGAGACGAGTAACCTCTTTCTCTCCATCATGAGACAAATTATTTACTATTCAGAGCAATGTAGCTATTGATCATCCCCAAGAGTAATTTGCTGTCACCCGTCTACTCCAGCCTGTATCGATTGTAGGGTCTGGATAAGCACATTCACAGGGACCATAATGAATATAGTGGTTGTTCTCCTCTATGCTAATGTGCTCTGGTTCGATATTCGTGTCGAGGTCACCCTCAGTGCGGTCCTCCTGCTGCATGCAGGATCAGCCTCCAAACAGACCACACAGGAACTCTGCACTTCTTTCACCAATAATCCTCAAAACCGGCCCTCCATTCACTTCAAAGTTGCACTGTACCAATGTTATGTACAAAAAAAAAAAAATCAATGGAGATGGTATATAATCACCATGACATCATACTTTGGATTGTGACTTCAGCCATTCCTATGGAAGCTGGGGGAAAATGCGGAGCCTTCATTTTGTTCAGCTGTCATAATTATCCATCCATCCATCAATCTATCCTGTTACTTCCGCTTACCCAAGATCAGGTCACGGGTAACATTTTTAGCAAAGAAGCCCAGATTCCCCCGGCCCTAGCCACTTCACCCAGCGGAAGGCATTTTGGTGGAATAGAAGAGGTCCTCGAAGTATTCTCTCCACCGACTCACGATGTCGCTAGTCGAAGTCAGCAGCGACCCCATCCCCACTATGCCCGAGTTTTTGCCTCACCGAAATCCAAAGTTGCTCTCCGCTTGGCCAACCGGTACGCTTCAGCTGCCTCTGGAGTCCCACAGGCAAAAAATGTAAACCTCCAAAAGCACACGTTTAAACGTATTAAAATCAGCTTTTTTTTAATTGTAAAAATCGATGACTCATATCACATTAAAGGTAAATATAACATTTTGTTCCACTATCCTGAAAATAACTTTTTGCGGTTGTATTAATTTTCTTTCATAATTTTCTTTTCTTTAAATGTACTTTTCCAGTACACTCTAGAGTCCAGATGTTATTTATCTTCAAAAAAGGAAGAGAGCTAAAATAAAAGTAACACAATCAATATTGCATCTTGTTACACTGTCATGATGATAACGTAAAACACTATAAGTGGAAATCATTTAAAATTTTCAATTAATAAATTACCTTAACTACTATTGGCGTCCCCACATCAGCACTTTGCTGCCATCTAGTGGTACATCTGGTGCTTTATTGAAGTAAATAAAAACAGCGTGTACTGTGCATTTGTAGTAAGTGTCTGTTGTATGTGCTATCCCTCTGTGTCAGCTTATGTGCTCCAAGTCAAAGTGGAGATGGAGCTGGAGATCCAACAGTGCGAGAAGACGAAAGCAGTGCGAGAGGAGCAGCTGGAGCGTCTCACTCAGATCTGCCAGGAACAGGCTGTGAGCACCTTTTCTTTAATTCATCTTAACATCGCCCCAACCCCTCCCCCCAAAAAACCCACATGAGAAATCGGCGGAACGACAGGAAAGAAATGATGTGACCTCATGCCCAATCTTCTTACGGTTGCATTGATAATACACAACATAATATACATTTCACGATTAAAGATGATTCACTAGGCATCTCGATACATTGGGCGTGATAGGATCACACTCACAGTCACACCTAGGGGACAATTTAGAGTCTTCAATTCAGCTAACGTGCATGTTTCTGGAAGATGGGGAGGAAGACGGAGTATTCATTCATGCAAGCACGGCGAGAACGTTAACTCCATACAAGAAGACATGAGCCAAGATTCAACCTTTGGGCCTCAAAACGGAGGCAGATGGGCTTCCCGCTCTTGACAACCTTACTGGCCCAATGAAAAGCACATATCATATAATTTGTTTTCATAGAAAATATCATAATTGTACTCTTTTAATGATGAAAAGAAAATAGTCAAACTCAAACTTTCATTGGACATTCAACCATTTTTTTTTTACAAGGACTTTAAATGAATTAGCACTGAGTAGGTATTTTTTTAAATAAATGTAACAATTAGATCTGAAAATTATGTATTCATCCATTGGCCCTAATCCTCTTCCGTAGTGTGCGCGTGTGTATCCTTGCCATTTATTTTATGAAGTGTTTATCAATCTATTGTCAGAAGGGGGCAGCAACGCCTCATAGACAGAGTCATTCTGTTCCCCAAAAAAACTACGCTGTCCTTATCCTCCACGCGTTTATGCATAAAAATAATTTCTCAATTAAAAAAAAACAATCAGTAAAAATGGTCAAGTATACTTAGCTAAGCTATTATTTTCTTAATCGCCTAACTAAATTAAACAAATTTGATTCAGTATATTGGTCCAGATCCCTTACTATCCTCCACTATATTAATATCATCTTTTACACCCTCCTGCCGCCCCCCACCCCACATCATTTTCATCTTCTCCTCATTTGGAATCCCATCCGTTCATCCTTGTGCTGTAGTTTGAGATCAGGCAGCTACGGGCACACCTGGCCCAGCAGGACCTGGACTTGGCGTCTGAGCGCGAGGCTGCTATGCAGATCCATCGTGTATGGGCCAAGCAGGGTAGGAGTGTACAGGTTGTGGAGGGCTCGACTCCTGGGGAGTCGGACGACGAGGGAGCTCACAGGAATCCCAGGGAGCTGCACGCCACTGCAGGTATACTTCACTGTACTTAATGGCTTTCTGAATGACACTCGTCATGGGTCCCTTTGGGGCGGGGATGGGCAACTTAAATGTTGGTGGCCACAATTTTTCATCGTTGTTCATGGGAGGCCACATAGGATCACGTACTTCCTCAACAGGTGTATGACAAAAATACTCTTTTAAATATTGACAAATTGTATGCATATGTGCAAAAATAAATGCTCTTAATACATTTGAGTTTTGGTCGAACATTTTTTACTGCATGAATAAAAGGTCCACTAACATAACCCAGCAACAAAGTGGGTGAAGCAAACAACAAAATAACCATAACCTATAACTTTTTTTTTCCGGTGAAAAGGGCTCTCTCTCGAAAAAAAAAAACAACCTAAAATCCATTCAAGGTCAGCACAAAACTGTTGAACAAGAAACCGTCATAAAGTGCAAGAACTAACTTTGTACCTTGTTTTTAACAAAGAAAATCAGCAGAATCAAAATTGTACTGTTATTGAGGTACTATTTATCCTAAATGTCATCCCAAATCTACAAAAAAATAAATAAATACTCAGCCTACTCACGTAGTAGGCTAGTGGGCAGTGAAAGACCCAGAGTAAGTGTAACGAAGACATATCTGTCATCTTGTGGTAATTGGTGATGTTACACCTTGGTATAGTAAAACACTTAGCCCGTGCAACAACACATATATTTTCGTCAATTAAAATTACAAATGCATTATTGACGTTGATGAGGGAATATTGGAGCAACCAAAGAAAAACATGCCACCTAGTGGCCATTTAATTAGTGACACCTATCTGTGATGTTATGATGTTATCACTTTCACCTCAGCGCGGCACACAGCAACTGCCGTGATGCTTGTGTCCCTAAATATTATAAGATTAATATTTATTTTTCACATTTTTTTTAAAAAAGTACTGTTGTGCTCAGATGTTTACACATCCCGGCAGAATTTGTGAAATAATGACAACGTTCTGGAAAACGTTGACGGTTGACTGAATGGGGACTCTCGTTATTTTGTTTATTGCATTGTTTTGTTGAATGATTGTGCTCACTCCTATTTTCTTTAAAGAGCAGGTGATCTCTTACACCTAATGCTCGGGTATGTAAACTCGTGTGATCGAGGCTGAATAGAACGCTTCCAATCAGCCCATTTAAGTGCAGCGTATGTAATCAGGCCAGGTGGAGCGTTTGCTTGAGGAGGCAGCATGACAAACCAGAGAAGAGGTGCGGCGTCACATCCGTGCATAATTCTGTGGAACAAACAGTCCCTAATGGTGCAGCATCAGGCCAAGCGGATGCCGGTGCAGTGTAGGGTTGACATTGCCCTGGAGCGGCCTCTTAGCTCTCTCCGTTCTCACACACCACAGCCATCTGACCGCAGGCACACGGGATCAATGCAGGGGGCAAAAAAAAAAAAAGCTTTTAGAATGTGCTGAGCGCTGGAGAAAACAAGCATGTGTTTTGTTTTTTTTTGACACTGTGTCACTCTCAGCTCCTGTCGTGCTTCAGCCACCGCGCGGTCGACTCGGATTGTTTCAGCTACAGAATGCTCTCTGCATTGGGCCTTGTTAGGAGGGCAGTGGGCTCCTGTCAACATCTGTTCTCATTCACCTGCAAACCACAATCGGGCACCGCAATATTATCCCAGGGGCATACGGTCGTGGCAAATTTGGTTGCAGGATACAAAGTGGGCCTTTTTCTACGTCGACAAGGAGCACTTACAGGCCAGCAGGTGCAAGTTCAGGTCAAGTCACCGCCAATCAAGTCCTCATGCCAACTTTGTTCTCACCTGAGCGACGACACCGTGCCCCAGAAATCCCAATTGTCCCCTGAGACGGAGTCTGATGCCGCCTTCGAAGTACGAAATCGTGTCACACGGTGACAACATCCACTGTCACTCAAGCGCAACATCTGCTCCAAGAAGCAGGTCATTGAGCACTTACTGCCTTGCTGCTTTTACAATTATACAACCTTAATCTTTGCACTGCGTCACACAAAAAGATCAATACTTTATTAGGCACACCTAATCCAGTACAAAAAACAAACCCTGCCTCTTCAATGATAATATTTTTTGGATTTCATTGGTGATGTTCAGTATTAATTCGCTCTGCAAAGAAGGTATGTTGACTTTGGTGCTGATCCAAATTAGCCTTGGCAATAGTCCGCCTGCCACTAAAAGTTATTCATATTGTTCTTCTCTTTCCACAGCCCCTTTTTCAAAAAAGCCTTGCAAAAATCCAATTTTAATGGTATCCTGACATCACTCCACATAACTGCTCCATGTCCACTTTGTGTGTGACATATTTCCTTCTCCCCCCAAATATCGGCTGCGCTTCGGTAGGTGTTGCTATTTTGCTTTCTAAAAAATCGGACATACACCATAGCTGTTTTGACAAACGCTTGCGGATAGAAACCTCTTCCTGGCGAGATGGAACGGGCACTGATTTATAAGCCTATCTCACAAAAGTGGGGGTCGCCCGACTTCCTGCTCTCAAGAGAGGCTGGCGTACGACAGAGAGCTGTAGTTTCTACTCCACTATAGTGTTTGTAACTCCTACTTGTTGCATGAAATACTATGAAAGGCAAGTTCATTCACAAACATTACAAAAACCGAGGTGAAGACATTTTTTTTTTCTTGACAAGGCAACAAGACAGTCCCCACATTCCTTACATTAGCAGTATAGATCAATCGGGTTCAGCCGTTACAATAAAAACAGATGCTTCTATTAGTGGGAAATCAAGCCAGTGACTGTACTTAAACCCCATAGAGCATGCATTTGATTTGTTTATACCCTCAAGGAATTTGCCTCACTGTTCCAATATCTGTCGATGGAAATGCACGTGGAGAGACGCTTTACATATTGAGATTTAGTGGTAACTAATGTGAGGTGCCCATCGCCCGTACGTCCATGACTAACAGGGCATTTTTCACACGCATAGGAAAACAACACAATTTAACGATAAATGATTATATCCAGAACGATTGTCATTTCTTGGCCAGTGCTGCAGCAGCACAACATCAAGTCTCTGAACGACACCGGAGTCTACGGCTGCACTAAAAGGACCCAGCATGTCACCTCTCCTCTTCCACACACAAGTGACAGCTTGATAACCGGGCCGTCTCACAAAAAAAGAGCCGAGAGCCTTTTTATGTATGCTGGACGGCCAATTCTCCCCCCTCCTCCCCCCGGCCCCCCACCTCACCTCCATCACTCATGTGTTATTAATTGTGCAGCGATTGTCTCCGTCTTGTTTTAGTGAGTGCAATGCCTCCTCTCCGGGGGTGGCCCAGGGATTAATATTTTAGAATGAAAAATAAATGAGATTACCCATCAGAGTCTGCAGCAGCAGCAGCGTGTCCCGCGGGACGGGGGCTTGCACTCAAGCTACTCGCGCTTCGCACTCAGCCAGCAAACAGTGAGCTCAAGACCAATCAAGCGAGCACAAGATCACCGCCATTCAACCACGCACATTGCCCCCTCCCCAACAAAGAGCTCTCATGCGGGCCCACTTTTGTCAAGCCAAGCCCAGCCTAAACGGGCCCGGTCTATTACCTGCTGCACTATCCGGCTAATGCAGCACCAAGCAGAGCGTGAGCCTTTCCAGCACCTGTGGCCTGAGGCACTGACTATTTCTGTCAATAAGTCCTTGTAAACATTTCAGATAGTTTCCATTCGGACTCATTTGTCATGTTTGCGCTGAAATGGATCAGTACCCGGGTGGGCGTTAAATCCAATGAAGTCAATTCTGTGCCTTTTGAATGAGTTCATGACACTCCTCGCAATCCTCCAATTGGAGTCCATTCGAAGATTTAAGATAATGTTCCATTGGATCTCCTTCGATTCGTTTATGAAAAATCAGAATACTGTACAATCACTTCCATATTTTTCCCCCAACCAGATCCAGTTGTACGTGATGACATGAACAACTACATCAGCCAGTACTACAGTGAAGCAAGCAGTGGTAAGTCACTCGACACCGATACATCCTTATGCTAGCCTTGAAAACGGACAACCTGGACAACCCAATCCGCTCTGGGTGAGAAGCATAAAGAACAGATAATGATAAACAAACAATGTTGGACACCAATCACTATATTTTCAGGAAAAAAAGAAAGTCTCACTGTCTAATGTGTTTATTGGCCTCCAATTTGTCGACAGTGGTGTACTAAACTGCACCAGCAGTCTGTTAGTGCTTTTCAAAAGCCTCTTTCAAGCCGAGATCCGACTACATTTCCCAAATTATGACATTTAATTGCCTGTGTCTTTCATAGAGAACTGAAACTTTCACACTGCAACACTGCATCACACAACCAGATCATTCACTTATAAATGCCGATTGAATTATTTTGTATATATGAAAATAATGATAACGACAACTGATTTTAGCACAGCAAAATGAGGTGTCAGTGTTCACCCCCTTCAAAAAAAAAAATGCCAGTTTCACAGTGCATGTTGAACTTATGTAGAATTTTAAGAGGACCATTCTGTGGTGGGTGCATATTGATTTTGTCTTGGAACAACTTTTGAGAGGTCCGGGAACCTCTCGGGCAGAGTCTGCATTGTTTTACAAAGTAGAGCTAAAACATACGTGGTATCTTCAGGTGGAAGTGTGGCTTTTTGTGGTTTTTGAGGCAGAGCGGAAGGGGCTGAAATGTGAGACGCTTCAAAGAATCGTTCAAGGTCTATGATTCGTGAAGAACTTCACAAGCAAAACAAGAAATGTTTATTTTTGTAGAAATAGGATGTGAATTTGGAAGAGCTCACACTAAACTGAACTGATACTCAGAGACTGAATTGTAAGCTAAGAAATGTCAAATGGGGACCGAAATAACGTCATTACAGCATGGAAGCAAGTCTGTGAAATTTCTCCATTCGCTTGAGAATTTTCTCCGAGAAAATTGTGAATTCTTCAAATTGGAGGAGTTTTTGAAATGTGGAATGTTTTACACTATAATACTTTGAATTCATTGAGAAATATGAATTGGAACTTAATTTGTTAAGTTTGCCCATTAGTCTGCAAACTTTGTCACATTTTTTTTCAGTGTGGAACATTCCGATGTTATATTTGAATAATCTTTGTATTTTGATTGTTTTGTCTGTCAGTTACTGCAAGCCTGAATTAATGGTTCCCAAGTATTTGTGGTACCAAAGTTAAACATAAAAAGCAAGGAACAAACAAACAAAAAACAACAGGTGTATGTCAGTCACACTTAATGTGCTGTTTTTTTCCCTGGGAACCTGAGACAGGTTCTCCTGCCCCACACATCAGAGAAAGGACAGGGGGCTCTGGCAGGAACAAAGTCAACAAGGCGTGATTATTGTTCTCTTGACCTTTTTTCTTTAAGATGGCAGGACTTGTGGCTTAGGGCCCCGCGTCGTCACCACGGCCTCCATTGACATCCACCTCCCGACCAATCACATCCAGTCCAACGCCGCTCACGATCTGAACTTGAGCTACAGCTCCCACCCCAGCTGCCCCCCTTCTTTCTCGAGCCAGGACCAGAGCACGGTAGTCCAGGAGCTCCTCTCGTCTCTTTCTGAGGACTCCTGCCTCGCTCAGAAAGGACTGACTGTGGATCCGGTCAACCTTAAGCTCCCCAGTCCCACTGGCTCCGAGAAAGCTAGCCCAGAGATGGACAACAGAATAAAGGTGTTCAACCGCAGGAACCACCAGGAGAGGCGGGGCCGAGGCTGCGTCCTGCTGCAAACCAAGCCACTCATCCACCTGCAGGGCGGCGCTGCCGAGCCCTCGCTGGAGGAGAAATACCGTCTCCTTGGTCCGGCCGACACACCTTTGGGACACATGTCGGACACATAGCACACTTACATCTGCACTTTACGGAAACTTGAACCTCGTGAGAGCGACACAAAAGCCCAACGCACGCAAGAGCGATGCGGCTGAGTGCGACTGAACTGTCATGCAGTGTGTGGGGCTCTGCAACTAGTTTTCTTGAGAGGCTGACCGCTGGCGCTCTATTTTTGCCGCGATGAGAAATTTGAATTGCAGACGAATGGCATCACGTCACAAATTTTAAAATGTCATGTTGGATCACATTTGCTTTCAACAATGACATTTCCAATTCTGGGTATGAACAAGAGCCAGCCGGCCGCCGCCAAGCCGGACCAATACAATATATACAATGCTGGAGTTAATGTGTTTTACAATGTCAACAATACAGTATATGACTACGACCACTAACGATAATATTATTAATACTTAGTCATATTGCTGTCAAAGGGTAGAATTCTTGAATCATGAAAATGCAAGGTTTGTTGAGTCTATCACACTGTGTGTGTGTGTGTGTGTGTGTGTGTGTGTGTGTGTGCGTGTGTGTGTGTGGCTTATAAGCGAAGTGTCCGCAACCAAGTAAGCGCAGTCACTAAATGAGCTGATCATTGCTAATAGCATCTCAAATCTCCGCTTTCTCTCGTTTATTTCTCGCCTACTTCCTCAATTTGTGTGATTATGATGCACTGTTGGTACTAACCTTGCTCGAGCCGGATTGATAATGTGAATCACTCAATCAGTATCAGTCTCTGACGACTCCAATGTGATCCGCTCGGAAAAGGCGGGACATGCAGTATAATACTTCACGCTGATTGGGCGATGCGGCAACTTGTGCCCGCCTACCAAACGTTTGTTTTGACCAATCCCGGCAATGAATGAAATTGTCATCACCGGCTTGCACCTTGTTTTGACCAGCTGAGTCCTGTTATGATTGGCAAAGATGGCATCGTGACGTTGAGTGATAGCTGTCGTTTTTTGTAATGTAAATATGCGGTTAAAGGGCGTCTAAAATCACACGATGTTGATTTTTTTCTAATCAAGCCGATTGTCAACCCGCCCCAAACAAACAAATTGTTGCTTATCGCTGGTGCTGCGGCTCGGTGCAAATCAGCGGGCTCGAGACAAGATGGATTCACGTGGTCTTGTGAACTCACAAATACCGCGAGAATTCCCGCTTGCAGGCAAGGATGGTAGTTACAGCGGCAGGGCAATCCGCCTTTTGATTGACAAGCGCACCATGTTGTTTGTGATTCAGAAAAAAAAAAAGAATACAGTTGTAAATGTGGCGCCTCAAAACATTGTTTCGTGATGCAGCGCCTTCGTTATGTGTGAGGGGGGTCAATCACCTGGTGTGCGGGTATGAGTCCTGATTTTTTTTTTCTCAACTGTCTACTTCAGTCGCATCGCTTGGTGTGCGGGGGGCCTTATGCTCCACGAGTCGTTCTGTGTTCACAGAGGACCTATCAGAAACATTTCCTAGATCTCCAACATTCCCTGATCCTCCGTGATGGATGTGAGGAGAAGAGATGCCCACATTGAGCACAACAAATACAACAAAGCCCCATCAAAGTGGACTTCAGGGATGGGCTTGAATTTTTTCTAGAAGTCAGTCAGTAAAAACAGAGTGCACTACTTGGATGATTCAGTCTTAGTTTGCCGTCTAAAGAAGTTAACAACTCAGGATGTACTCACACTCGGCCACTGGAATCGTGCCTGACTTGAAGGCTCTGAAGCATTCAGGCTTTGCCCCGTTCAAGAGTGCCATCCCGTCATGATATAAATCACTGCAACCTTTCTAATTGGATGAATGAATTCTCTTTGTTTCTATTGTGCAAGCTGGCCGTTACCATGAATAACTGGCGAGAGGAGCATTGATTTTATGACAACTTCATTGCCTGCGTGCCTAAGCCTTTTTTTTTTCTCTGTGGGTTATTTTGAGTCATTCTATTTATTTTTATTGTGCAGAGTGGTGATTCTTTATATCGATGATCACATTATTCATGAGACTTGCACACCGTGACGGAGAGGCAAAGACTGAACATGTCATGAACATTATTTTTTTTTTTTGGTGCATGCACTTGCCCAGCGGTTACCAAATCTATGCTATGGATTTTTTGAGTGGATTATTTTGAGTCATTTTGTTGATTTCTTTTGTGCACTGCAGCAGTTATCATGACTAACTGGCGAGAGGAGAAATCGTTTTCATTGTATGAAACGTGTGCCTTTGCATCATCGCACATTTCGTGGACGTATTTTCTTTTGTACTCATTATTTCACGTTATTTCTATGGTGGACGATGGAGTTTATGATGAATAGCTGGTGTGAGCCGTCGTATTAATCGTATAACATGTTGTGCGCGTGTGCCTGTTTGCGACCAAGGGTGTTGTGAATCATTTCTATTCAATCTGTTCATTTCTCTTGTGCACTGTGATGGTTATCATAAATGATAATTAATCCTACGAGAGTGGATTTTGAGAATCAAGTGGGCCCAAGCACGGTTGGAATAGCCAAGTGTGAGTACATCCTAATGCCTTACACCCAGTGTGAGTCCTTAGGCCAGCAGTCATCCACGAATACAGAACATTCAGAACTTTCCCCAACCTTTTAAATATTATATTGACTGAATAATTATTGTTCCCCATGGTCCCATCTTCATCCCTCGTGGACTTGAATGTGTTATTGATCACGTTCAGCATCCAGAATAGTGGCTGTGAACTGCTCTTAAAGGCAGAGAACTTTCTACCAATCGAAACCAGCAAAAGGGCCCTTGAAAGCCTTCAGTGAACCACATTGGTTAGTTTTCCAATCAAACTAAGATGCTCTTCCTCCAATTTGGAAAATTACAACTGGTCAAAAAAAAAAAAGTGGGATGGGGGGTTCAAAAGCATTTTTTTTTTCCTGCGATCAATTTTAATCCACCATGCTCTCTCTTTCCTAAATAGAGACACACAGGGTACATGACTAGATTGATTAACAAATGACTTTTTTTTCGTTATGTTTCCAAACGACTGAGTTGGAAACATGACAAGATTTATACATACAATACACTTTTTGTTGTTGAATTTAAAAAAAAAAAAAAAAAAAAAAAGGTATTGGGTGAAATGTTGGATTGGAAGTAAACGTTTTTAAACGAAGCCAATTCTGAATGAAGTGTGAGTGTTTGTAGCATGATGATCCTTTACAACAGCGAGCAAATTCTTTTGCACTTTAATGTGGCCAGACACTTTTTGTAAACTTTATTTACTGGGGTGGCGGGGGGGTATAGTGGGGTGGGGCAGGCTTGGGGATTGTCATTGCCAATGCCAAGGTGTTGTGATTTGATGAAAAATAGCCAAAATAAAACAAGTATTTCCTTAGCCGCTTTCTGTTTAAAATGTGTCATTAAAATAAAACACTGCACTCTGCAATTTGATAATAGATCAGGTGTTGATGAATCCACACCTCTAGTTTCAAGTATCTCTCTCTTTCTCTCTCTCTCTCTGCCCCCCCCCCCCCCACACACACACACACCTCATGTGGGCCTTTCACAGTCGTGAACTCTGACCCGCCAAGTCCCAGATAGGCCAAAGTTGGCGTGAATAATTCACACCAAGACAAAATGCCAATACGTATAAGAGGCCAGCGTGAGAGCCGAGTGTCCGTGTGTGGCAGGTTGACGGCGCCAAGAGCTGAAATGGCTTCGGGGACGAGAAGTGCGCCGCTCGCTGTCACGCTGATCCTAAGCTAAGGAAATGAACAGTGACCATTAGACACTTACTTCATTATTGACATGTTTTAATCATGGCACATGGGGAGCCACTTTAGTCATATTAACATTACATGATCAACTCTTTGCATTCTCATTAAACAAAAGGCAACGGCATCTCAACAAGAAATTGGATTTGAGACTTCATTTCTTACTTTGTGCCTCTTCAAGACTCTTAAAATAAAAAGTGCAGTAAAAATTTATTACATTATGTTCCTCCCATTTATTTATTGCACAGAATGCAATTCTGTCATTTATTTTGTTTATTTTTCAGCACTTGTTGGCTTTCAACTGAAATAGAGTACAATGAAAAAGTGTGTTTAAAAAATTAATATGTGTCAAAATAAATCCAACAAAGTACTTACTATTTTCCAAATATCGACTCTATTCATGTCAATGATTTAAAAGTCAGGTGTGAAGTGGCCAACCATCTTTTGAGTCTTTTGATAATATTTAAATCATCGAATACCACCATGATAAGAAAAAGGCTGCCCATATGAAAATGATTTATTTGTGTGGGAAATTATTTTAGCGTGTTCCAGATGAAGAACTTCATAGTTTGGACCTTGAATGTGGAAGGCTGCCTTATTTGGATACATAAATATGCAGTTTAAAGAGAGTCATAGTTCTCCAGCAGCCAGACACCAACAATAAGAGAAGCAGTAAAACACACACAATTTATCGCAGATTAAAATCAAATGTCTCCACAAGTAAAGAAAAAAAACCGATATGTTGAAATTAATAACCTAAGTGGTTTCCTGCTGCAAAGTCTCCAGCTGAGCAGAGTGCATGCGTGAAGATAAAACATTCACGTCATGTGATTGGGGTGTGAGTGCGCGGTGGAGATTTTTGTGGGTGCGTGGCGCTAAACAGCTGGGTGTGTGCATTTGAGTGGGAGCGAGAGAGAGGGCAAAAAAAAAAAAAAAAAAAAAGGAAAAGTCTCATTGAGAACAAACAGTGACAGATTGAGAACACGTCTCACACATACACACGTTGAAGCTGGAGGAAAAAAAAATACAAATGAATTATACATGCCGCTTTAAAAAGCTTCTCAGGTTCTCCTTTTGCCGACATTTTTCTTAAGTGCACGCTGCTCACAACAAGTGTGCTAAGAATCCACTCAGGAGACTGTTGTCATGGCAACAGCACTGTTTTTTTCCTCCTCTTTTCTGTTTTTTTTTTTCCTGGATACTTGCGATGGCTCTCAGGCTAAAAAGTGGGTCAGTTAGCTGAAAATAGTGAGTGAACGGCCCTTGGAGGATATATTTTTATATATCAATTATTCAATTACCTTGCGGAAATTGAGCATAATGATGTTGCGTGAATCATTCTACAGTGGATTGTCTTCAATTCATCATTATTAAAGGCATCAAATCAAGTTTGACCCCCCCCCCCAAAACAAATAACCAAGATAATTGTTGTTGTTGCACGTGCCAAGTCATGTGATAACCATGACCGCTCGCCCTCCTGCGGGAATTCCGAGAGCTCAATTAAATGATCTCCTCAACTTTAATTCAGCGAAGCAACGTGTAAGTGTGTACTTTACGCTTGGCTAGCGACGCGGTGGCTAGATTAGTGAACATTTTAGGGTAAAAAGGACTGAGACTCTGTGGGGACATCGTCGTCCGTCGGATTCTGTGTTTCTGCCTTCTATCTGAGGTGATCTACATATTCATATTCAATAAACACGTTGACTTACATGAATACACAATGACCGTGTAGGGAAGACATGTAAAAGAAATTGAATGAGGGCGCACCTACACGTTCATTTATTTAAAG